AATAACTTGCAGTAAATACGAAGCTATTAGGTGAGAAGCCTAACGTGTGTAATACATACCACGACTGTCCTCCCTGTCCACACAATCCTCGATGTTGTCGAAAGGTATGGGTGTTTAGGTTTAATCACTACCGGTGGTGCAGTTGTGGCCGAGAATATCATAGAAACCGATGGAGTATTGCCTGCTATTAATACAAGGCTTGACTATTGCACCCAAAGCTATTAATTATGAACAATAGCTATTAATTACAAATATTTTGTCATGTATATTTTATACTAGAGTAATTAATATAATTAAAGTTTTATTTTTAATTTTTATTAACAATAATAAATATCAATGTTTATAATATCGTGCTCTGTATATTACAATAGAAAATTTCTAATAGAAATTCATAAATAAAAGATATTGTGGTTGTAAATGATATTTATATTATTTAAATAATTTTTAATATTCAATATGATTAATGTATAAATTAGAAAAATAATAGCTAAATTAATATTACTATTAAAATTGAATTAAAAAGTGTCCTCAAAACAAGAATTATTTAATTTTCAAAACCTTATCGTTTATAAAATTTCAAATTGATTTAAATAGCAATAAATGTCTGAGTATTTATAATAACAATAATATAAACATGATTTACTTCAATGTTTTAACCTTCAACTCGGACTATATTTAAGTGCAAAGGTAGACACACTCCCTATCTTTGAATATTAATTACTTAATTAAAAAATAATTTAAATAATTATCACTTTTAAGTGTTTTATCTAGTATAAAAGCAATTATTCACAAAATTCCACTCACATAAATTCTCTGAAATGTTTACTTTAAAAGTATTTTCAATATTAATAATATTCTGGTCTCACAGCAATGCCCAAAATAACCAGTGCACAGGTATGTTGAATTTAATTAATTTTATTTATAAACACTAAGAACTTATATAATTTTTAGAAACTTTATTTAATATAAAAACTAATGATGATTTGAATATAAAAATTTATTTTTTGTATAAAACATGAAATTATAGTGGAAAGGGTGCCAAACATCAGATTGACTGATGGTATGAGAATACCGATCATAGGTTTGGGTACTTATAATATCCGGGAGCAGAATGTGATGGATCAGGTGATAGAGGATGCCATTGATGTCGGTTACAGACATATAGATACGGCTTATGAGTACAATAACGAGAATTTGATTGGAAAGTCATTAAGAAAACTAATGGATAGACAGAAAATAGAGAGAAACGATATCTTCGTGACGAGTAAAGTGTGGAATACTTTCCATCGAAGGCGTAAAGTAGTGGAAGGCATGAGACTGTCGCTCAAGAATCTGGGATTAGATTACTTGGACTTAGCTTTAGTCCACTGGCCTATGGCTTATAAAGAGGGCACTGAAAATCACCCGAAACACGCTAATGGATCGTCATTTGATATGAATATCACAGTTGTGGAGACCTGGAGGGGAATGGAGGATGCATATAAACTGGGATTAGTTAAGAGCATCGGGGTCTCTAATTTCAATTCTGAACAATTAACTCGTGTTTTGAAAGAAACTCATATCAAACCAGTTGTCAATCAAGTAATAATTTATTTTCTCAATTTTCTACTGATTATCTTGGTAATAAAATAATGATTTGTATGAATTTAGATTGAATGCAATCCATATATAACTCAAGAAAAGTTAGTAAATTTTTGTAAGAATAGAGGGATAGATGTGGTGGCTTACAGTCCGATAGGTCGGGGCGATAATGAATTGCTAACTGAGCCCATGCTTATGGAAATGGCCAATAAATACAAGAAAAGTGTGGCCCAAGTGATCATGCGATGGCTCCTACAGAGGGGTATTGCTGTCATTCCCAAGACTACCAGAAAGGAGAGACTCATTGAAAACAAATGTTTATTTGATTTTAAATTAACAAAACAAGAGATGAGAAGAATATTCAGATTAAATAAAAATAAGCGAATTATAGCGTTGTCTGAAGCGGTCAACAATCGTGAGTATCCTTTCTTAATACCATTTTAATAGCTGACAAACATTTTGTCGACAAACACTTGAAAGCTATTTTTGCTTGTATTGTATTGTATTTAATAATTTTTTTTATCTAAACTGATATAAATATAAATACAGTACTGTATCTTAAACTGGACTTTAAAGGTAATACTTTATTTATTAAACTTTTCATATATTGATAATACTTGTATATTATTATTATTATTTACAAGAAAACAATATTTGTGTCCAATTATTAATATTTATTATCATTAAAAATCAATATATTACAACAAGTTTATCTATCAAATAAATATTATCTATTATTATTGTTGTAGAATTATTTATTGGTAAATTTATAAGTATTTTAAATCCCATATCGCAATTCGCCACTGGCAAAATATTGCACCATAATAATAAAAATGCATTAGATTAAGAATTTATTTGTATAAGATTAGAAATTCTTTAACTAATAAATATTTAGACATATTTAAGACTTTTAATTAAAGTTATTATTTATGAATGTTACTTTTAAAATAATTTTATAAACCAAATAAAGCCTTTTTAAGTTAGAAAAATTCGTGATAAATGATGTTATTAATATATTGATATATTTAGAAAATTATTTAAATTTATTTAAAAACTAAATTATTTACTAAATTAATTACTTAATCAATTATTAAAACAGTTAATTTTCTAAATATAGACCTAATATAATGTGAATAAACAATAATCAAAAATAGCAACAAATAGCTAACGTTATTAAAAGAGAGTGATTACAACTAAATAACCTTTTATTGATATTTGATATTCAATCACATTTAATAACAACATAATTGTAATTAATTATTAATGAAAATTTTTGATTATTAAACTTTCCTTATCCTTAAAACTCATTTATTCAATGAATAAATAAAATAAAGAAATCATTTTCGTATTGATTAGCCTTCGGAACAATTTTTAAAACATATTTCTAAATAAAATGATAAAAATTTTATTATAAATTATGAATTTAATTGTCCTTCGAATCGATTATGTTATTTAATAGATATATTATAATTGAGTAGAAAATAATTAATATTTTATAAATTTATAATGAAATAAATGTGCGTTTAATGCATTTGAATAACACGACTAAAGTGTATGAGAATTGTCGGGGCATTGGATTTGAAATGAAGACAGCCTTCACCTCAATTGCAAACAACTATTACTTATAAATCTAAACTTTATTTTGTGTTTCAAAAAAATCAAATAATTTTTGCAAAAGAAATTATTTATTGTTTCTAATTGTAAGACAATTTGGCAGTAAAATTATATAATTTGTAAATACAAATATGTTTGCGTTTATTTTGACCACGTTTGTATTTCACCTGGTTTATAGTTATGCTGGTAAGTATCCTTTGCGTAATTAACATTTTAGTTATAATAATAATTAGAAAAATA